TCTCATAGTTGTTTTAATTTGCATCTCTCTTAGGGCTAGGGATTTTGAGCATTTCTTCATGTGTTTGTTAGCCATCTGAATGTCGTCTTCGGTGAAGTGCTTGTTCATATCCTGTGCCCATTTTTCTATTGGATTATTTACCTTTATCTTGTTGTGGTGGTTTATGCATATATAATTTGTTGACAAGTATTCTTTTCTTCCCCTGCAAGATCACACAGTCTGCCTTGGTCCATGGAGGCTCTCAAATAAAGTATTACTTTTAACTTGCCGGTGGAAGTTAGCAAGGTGGACAACAGAAACTGCTCAGTGGTGCTCACTTCAAGTGACACCCAGGGCATGGGCAATGCTCGCCACGCCGGCCATGCCTTTGTATCTTAGATGAGCTCTGTTGAAATACCTTCCTCCTGTTCGTGGAGTCTCTGTTCTGCCACAGACAGTGTTTGGGAACAATTGCCCACGTAGCCATTTATTTTGCTGAGAAAACTTTCGGCCCATAGTTAGGCCTTTCAGATCATAACCAAAGGAGAGTGCTTGAGCCTGCTTGAGCCTGGGCTTTGGTGGGGTTAGGTTTCTCTAGGGAGTAATCAGTTCCCTTTTGTAGCAAGTCTTCTTTCTTTGTTTTGTGGGTTTTTTCCTCAACTTGCACACCCATTGTGCTGAAGCCCTGCTTGGCAGAGTCCTTGGTGGGGAGGCTCAGAGAGCAGCAGGTGGACAGTGGAGGAGGGCAGGAGATAAAGCCCACAGCTCTTGGTCTGTTCCACACAGCAGCCCTCCGTCAGGTTTCAGAGGCTGACTTAAATCTTTACGAAAGGAGGCTGCCAAGGGGAGCTCTGGTGGCCTAGTGGCAAGAAGCTGCACGCAATCCCAGAAGAACACGGTTCAAATCCACCAGATGCTCTGCCAGAGAAGGAGGTGCAATATCCTCCTGTACCAGTCAGATCTGATTTGACAGTACACGCACACAAAATTAAAAAACAAAACAAAACAAAACAAAAAAACGAAAGGAGGCTGCCCGTCTTTTTCCTGTGGAGCGCCTGTTGGACTTGAACCACGGACCTTTCATAGTAAGCAGCGCAGCAGGTAGCACATTATGTCACTGGAACTCTTTGTGCAGTGGTAGATAAGGGCTCTAAAAAAAGAAAAAAATCAACAAAGTGCAGTTTTCAGTCTTATCATGGCCCCAGTAGTCTTGGGCATTCTGATCAGTAACCAGTCTCACAGGTTTCTTTGTTTAAAAACCTCTAGGGTATTGTCGGAATTCAGCAAAGCCCAGGTGAACTCTGTGCCAGCCCACGCGCTGAGCCACGAAGCCGAGCCCTCTGCCCTCCAGGCCTCACTCTCGCTCCAGGGCCCCGACGCCACCACACACCCACATCTGGATGTGCCCGCTGAACGCCTCCCTGCCTGGGCATCCTCACGGACTCCAGATGGCGAACACAAGCAAGAGCCACTTTCCCACATAGCTGGCACCCCAAGCTTGCTGAAGCTGGGCACTGCCCCAAATGCTCCTTCAGGGGACACTTTGGCCAAGCCATCTAGCCCTGTGAAAGAGAAGACCAGGCTCATCTGCCCAGGAAGTAGCCCAGAGAAGCCCCCAGAGTGGGACAGAGTTGGACTGAACCTTGTGATTTCCTCACCCACCAGTCCGGTAAGTGGTGCACCTTCTCAGGGCGGGCAGGGGTCTTGTGCCATGCCTAAGAGCTGATACGGATCTTCCTAACTAGTGACCTCGAGTGGTCTCTGCCTTCCTCTCATTCTCCCTCCCCCTGCATGGTAATGGTATTACTCAGCATCATAACGATAAGCGGTGTTTCTTGGTATGTAAGTAGTGGCACTGTGTGGTTCCCGGCCCAGGTGGATCTCTCACCTGAGCACAGACACTCTGCTCTTACCACTGCCACCTACCAGCGTAAGACCTTCACTTACGCTCATGGTTTCCTCCTTGGTACTTTTTACTGTTAAATCAATATTGTTATAAAATACCAAGTTTTGAAAATACTAGTTTTTATTAGGTTTTACAACTGTGCTGTCCCATATGTCAGCCACTAGCCACATGGGCTGGCTATGAATTATTTTATATTGGCTAGTCCAGATTGAGATGCGCTTTATGAAATGCACACTGGATTTTGAAGACTAAATATGGAAATATGAATTTCAAAGACTAGTGGCCTAGTGGGTAAGGAGTTTTGCTGCCAACTCCAGAGGTGAGTGGTTCAAATCCACTAGCTAGCTGCTCCTCAAGGGAAATCTCCTCCCATGCAATTTACAGCCTTGAAAATCCACTGAAGGTCAGCCATGAGTCAGTTCTGTGACTTGATGGCAATAATGAGGAATATAAAAAAGAAAAGATTATAAAATATTTGCCAATAATTTTTATTAATTACATATTTTAAAGTTTTCCTTTTATGTTGATTTGCTTACAAGTCCATACACATTGTGTTTCATGCTAGTCTTCATTCACAAGGTGTTTCCCAGACAAATTATTAACATTTCTTAAATGTGTCAGTAGAGGGGAAAGGTATGTGTGTAGTACTCACCTCTTCTGTCCCTCTAATCCCAGCTACCTAATAAGGTAAAGGAGAATCGCTTCTAAGACCAGCAGAGGGAAGTACAATATCCTCAGGAAGGAGGAAAAGATAGTGTGGGTTAGGGTTGCTGGTAAGGTGAGAGAAGAGAGTAAATTTGGGTGCTTCCAGCTTCTTATTTCTCTGGGAGTCACAAACGCACCAAGGAGAGCAAAATGGTCAGAAGCAGCTGAGCTAGGGAATCGTGTTCCTGTGCACGTGTGGACACCTGGAGCTCTGGGTTTCTCCCACTGCAGCTGAGACTCATGTTGGAATGTAGTCTTACGGACACAGCATCCAGATCAGAGCAGCTCAGGAAGGGCCAGGGCTGGGAATAGACCACCAGAGACACACTATCTCCCTTTTTAGCAGCTTTATTGAGATAGAATTCATAGAACTTAAGAGTACCCAATTAAAGTGTACAAACTTATTTTAGACTATGTTGTCCCCCATGAAAGAAATAACTTGTCCGTTAGGAGTCACTCTTCACACACAAGACCTCCCCACCCCCAATTCACCGTATTCTGCATAGGTCATGCCAGATGCTGGTCAACTTTCTGTCTGTATCGATTCGTCTGTTGTGGACATTTTATATAAATGCTGTCATACTGTATATAGCCTGTCTTGACTGGCTACTTTCTCTAAGCACGTTTTCATGACTTCGCACATAGCATTTTTCATTGCTTTTTATTGCCAAATTATGTGCCATTATCTGGATATCCTTGGAGCTCCTGAAAGGTACAGATGGCTAATGCACTTAACTTAACTGATGGGCTGCAGGGGAGGTTAATGTGTCCTGAGGAGTCTTGAAAGGGAAGCCTGGCAGTCCACGTCTGAAAAGCATCCACTGACAACCTAGTAGAACACAGTTCTGCCCTCACATCCATGTTGCCATGGGTGGAACCGACTCAACAGCCACTAATTGAGATACGTTTTCTTTTAATGGATAAACCACTTATCATTTGGTGGACATTTGGGTTGTTTCCACTTGATGGCTGCTGCTATGCTGCTGTGAACATCCATGCACAAGTATTTATTTGAATGTGTATTTTAAATTCTTTTTTAATATTTTTTTTAAAAATTATTTATTTATTTATTTTTTGTATGTGTACTGTCAAATCAGATCTGACTGGTACAGGAGGAGATTGCCCCTCCTTCTCCAGCAGGGCATCTGGTGGATTCGAACCACATACGTCTGGCATTGTAGTGCATCTTCTTGCCACTAGACCACCAGAACTCCCTTATATTTTCAGTTCTTTTGGTTACATACCTCGAAGTAGAATATTTGAATCATATGGCAACTCGATGTGTGCTTTTTTTGAGAAACCACCTAGTTGTTTTCTACACCGCCCACACCAGTTTACATTTCCATTGGCAATGCGCAGGAGTATATGTAAGCTGTAAGCTGCACAGGAAGAGATTGCCCATTTTTCTTCTGCAGAGGTGCAGGTGGATTTGAACTCCCAGACAGATTGGCCCTTAGGTTAGCAGCGTAATTCCCTACAGACCCCATCCCACCAGAGCTCCCTTACCGCACCTCCTGTGCTTTGCAATAGGAATATAGTGGTGGATAAGAGAGATAAGGACCTTCTTTGGGGACAGACACTAGATTAGATGTCATCATGTACTTGTGATAATTTCTGGGAAGAACTGGTGAGGAGAGGCCTCTCTAGGACTGGCTTGTTTATCTGAGATCAGGCGTTTAGGAGCCAGTTTCATTGAAAGACAGTTCCCATTACCACCTGCTTGTGACATGTACTCGCCTCCAGTTAGGGTGCAGGCCACTCCTGTGTCTTTTTTAAATCCATCTATAGCCTTGACCATTTCACACCTCAGCCAGACTCCTCTCTGGTATTTGGCCATGGTTGTCAGTGTCATGATACTCTTAGTGGTTTGAGGTGGCAGCATTTCTCTGTCTTGAATTCTCTGTGGTGGGTGCTGTTGTGTTTCTGATTCTTGGTCCGTGGTCGAGCCAAGTGGTTTTCTCCCACTGCTGAAGGAGAAGGAGCTCACAGGTGTGGGGCCCGAGTGAGAAGTGGAATCATGGTACAAAGAGGGGAGGAAAAAGGGATGCAGTGGCATTCGTGCTAGCTTTTCCTCCTTCCCTCCCTTCCTTCCTCCTTCATGCCTGGGACCCAGTAGTTGGGGGTGGAAGCCAGGCCACACTAAAACTCTGGGGCACCAGGGTTCCCACTGTTTTCTCTACACTGAAAAGACCAAAGATTGTCTCTAGAGTATCATTTCCTGGTGCCTGATTCTGTGGTCAGGGGCTGGGGCTGGACATTGCTTCGTGGTCTCCTCTCCTCAGCAGAGATAGAAAACCTCACCAGGGAACACACATAATCTTAAAATGCCCCCTTGTCTTCTTCATCCCACTACTCTTTGTGTTTTTTTTTTATTTTATTAGTTTTAATGAACATTTACAGGGATTTTGGGTTTTCATTCCTTCATTGTTGCACTGTTTTCTCTACCCTCGTCCCCAGTTTGTTCTTCTTCCCCCCTCCGAATGTCTGTTTTAATTGTCCAATTGCCACAGTACTTGTCAAAGCCAGTTCTGATTAATCTCCAGTTCTGATTAATGTCCTTTGTCAGTGTGTCCTTTGCCATTCCCTATCACTCCTCCCTGAGAGAGACTTCACCCTGATTCATAAGGAAAAGGGGATGGCGTATTCTCTTAGCTACTTCCTGCTGAAAAGGGACGCTGTGGGTTTCAGGGTGAAGATCTTCTCTCACTACTCTAAAGGGCCCCTTTGGCAGTAGGAAACACATAGACTCTTTGTGTTTTATGTTAATGATGTGTGAACAGTGAAGATTAATTTCCACAAGTCTGTGCCAATCACTTGTGCTAAAGATACTGAGGAAAATGACAATTGAAGCAGCCTTTTAGATGATAGGATGGCAGCAAACACAGAATGACATGGGAGTCAGGTTGAGGTCCCCAACCTCATGGGCAGTAGGAGGCTTATGGGCTGGAGAAGAGTAAAGAAAACTCCCGGGAGGAGGCCACGAGTCCTGACCTAAGACAGCAGTCTTTCCTACAGGCCTTTAGCAAGGACAGAGAAGGGGAGCACATGATTTTTAAGTGTGTTTGCCAGGCCTGTGGGACTGCCAGCAAAGCTACATAGTTGATAGGGTGCTGCTCCCCCTGCTGGCTTTCCTCAGGGAGCTCCTGCGGGTCCCACTTGCCTGGACAGACTTGGAGCAGAATCTGGTTTTATAGATAGTCCCCAGTAGCTACCCTGGGTGACATATCATTCTGTCCCTGATAGACCTTAGCCACCTAGAGTCTCAGAGGCCAGCTTAGAAGTGAGGAGCAGAGACAAAAGCAACCAGTAGAAACTGGCCTTCGTCACTTCAAATCCCTTGGTAACAAATCATTCTGTCCTGCCAGTTCTGAGGACCCTGAGGTGGGGAACCTGCAGGCCCAGCTCTGTGCAGAGTCCACTCAGAACTCACCACATGTGGCTGAGGGGGTCTGGAAGCAGTGACGTGGATTAGTATGTCCAGTCAAACCTTTCAGGAGAGTCAAGCCCAGCTCTGCTTGCCTATCTGACAGAGTGGAGAGGAGCCTTGATTTAGGAGTTGGAAATAGCATTGTTGGGGTGAGATTGGTGCCACTTAACAAAATTGCTGGGCTGGTCCCACTCCTCGTGTGACTCATTTCCTCTGTGTCAACAATCCCTCTCGTCTACCAACTGGCATCATATTTAGGTACAGAAGGATAGAGAGGACTCAGAATAGTGGGGGGAAAAGGAGCTAGACCTTGTTCCCACAACCTACTGACCCTTGGGCAGTGAGCTATTCAGAGAGATCCACAGAGAGAAGGGCAGACAGGATCCGACCGCATGGGCTCTCAAGAGGCTGATCAGAAATGGGGAGCAGAGGCAGAGGCAACCAGTAGGAGCTGATTTCCTTCACCTCAGGCCCCAGAAGCAGGGTCATAAAACCCGAGACCTGTTCAACAAATGGTGCCAGGACAACTAGATCTCCACATGAAAAAGAATGAAGTAGGACTTCTTCAGAGAGAGCTCCATACACAAAAATTAATTCCAAATGGATTGCACACTCATAAATGTAAGAGGGAGGAAGAATGGATGCCTTTGAGTTATGAGGCTGGAGAAAAGTATTGAACATTCCTTGGACTGCTAAGAGTGCAAACATATCTGTCCTGGAGAAGGTGAAACCAAGCTGTTCCTTGGAGGCAAAGATTTTGTAGCTTCATCTCACATACTTCTGGCATATTGTCTGGAGGGACTAGTCCTTGGAGAGGGATATCATGCATGGAAGGATGGAAGGACAGAACAAGAGAGAAAGGTCCTGGAAGAGATGGATTGGCTCCGTGACTGGGGTAATGGGGATAGGTGTGTCGGAGGTAGTGAGATTGGCTCAGGATAGGGCAGGGTTCAGAGCTCTTGTATATAGGGTTGCTATTAGATGCACGTGCTTCAGTGACACATAACAACAACAACAACCTCCTTAAAGAAGACATGCAGATGACCCTACAGAGCATATTAAACACTTGGAAAGATGTTCAACATCATTAGCCATCAGGGAAATGCAAATCAAAGCCACAGCGAGACAGCCCTTCTTACCCAGCAGGATGACTATAATCAAACCGGTAATGACAAGGATTGAAGAGGCCGTGGAGACACTGCAACCCTCATATATTGCAGTGGGAATGCAAAGTGGTCCAGCTGCTGTGAGCAAATTTGGCAGTTCTTCAAAAAGGCAAACATGGAATTATCATGTAACCCAGCAATTCCACTCCTAGGTATGTTACTAAGAGAAATTTTAAAAGCCAGGTTAACCGAAAAATTTGTATCTAAATGTTCATAAGCAACAGCATTCGTAATAATAAAAAAGTGAAAACAAGCCAGATGCCCATTAGCTGATAAACAGAATGTGGTGTCCATACAACAGATTGATATTATACACTGTCAATCATTAATTGGGAGAATGCTATTCACTGGTAAGAAGAAATAACATTCTGATGCATGTTCAGTATACACGCACCTTAATAATGTTGTGCTCAGCGAGCTCTGGTGGCCTAGTGGCAAGAAGCTGCACTGCAATCCCAGAGGTGAGCAGTTCGAATCCACCAGATGCTCTGCTGGAGAAGGAGGGACAAACTCCTCCTGTACCAGTCAGATCTGATTTGATGGTACACACACACACACATACTGTTGTGCTGAAAGAAATCAATCATGAAAGACCTCATGTTGTAGGATTCCACTAATGTGAAGTGTCCAAAATAGACAAAGACATAGGGACAGAAGGAAGAATGTTTGCCTCATGCTGGGAGCTTGAGGGGAAATGGGAAGTGCCTACGAACTCCAGAGTATCTTTAGATGGGAGCTATCTTTTGGGAGTGATTTCCATTTACATTGTGATAGTTGCCCTATTCTTGCAATTATAATAATATACTAAAACCATCGAACTTTTGGATGGTATGTAAATTAAAAATGAAAAACAAAACTTTTGTCTTCTTTCCTGATAGAAAAGCAAGAGTTGGATCTCAGAGGATGACTTCTACCGGCCTCCCCAGGAGCCACCCCCAGAAAGTCTTTCCGATCAGTCCATAGCTTCATCCAAAGGGACTCCAGAGCCAAGGCCTGGTCTGCACAGGCATTTTTCTCAAGGGCCAAAGAAAAGCCACTCCATGGGGGCCTTAGACAAAGCTTGCGTGCCTTCCCCAGGAAGCGGGAAAACCAAGACGGCGCCCACGCAGGAACACAAGAACTTCCGTGTGGTACACCGGCGGCAGATGGGTAGGTGACCGTGTGGGGTCTCGGGGTGTCCCCACTGTGCAGTTTTCCATTATCAAATGGGTGGTGTGCTCTCTTGAGTAAAACCTGCTTCCAAAATGTAATAATATGGAACATTCATACTTAGTAATTCAGGAAAGCATTTCAGGAAAAGCACACCGCATTTTCTTCTTTTTTTTTTCGCATTTTCTTATAAAATCTTAATAAAGTTCCAAACTGTCTACAGAGTCCAGCAATCCTGTTTTGAAATGGAAAGCCCTTTCCTGGAATTTTTCTATAAAACTTGTGATTATGGAGAACATGACTCTGTAGCTCAGAGAGAACCCCTGTCTTGAAGCGCCAGGTGTTTTAGTGGCTCCTTCCAGAGTCCTTGACCCGAGGTGGTATATTTAACAGCTCTGATGGGTTGATGAGATCTGCTGTTGGTTCAGTGTCCTTGACCTGCTGCTTGTAAGGAGGCCAGCTTGCTCTCTACACCTGTGAAATTCCAGAACCTGTTAAATAACCATAACCTAATTTTTCTATAACCCTCATAAATGGTTTCCCCTCCAGTACAAAAAGAGAGAAGTCTACCCTAGAGCCACAGCTTTCTCTCATCATTGTCTGTAGCCCAGGAGAACATGCTGGCTCAGTTTCCGGGCCCTGGCTGGGTGACTTGGGTAGAGCCCTAATTTCCATGCCAGCTTCTGTTAGGTTTTACTTTCTGCCCCTGTGGTAGTTGCCATCTGTAACTGTGTCAGGGAAGGTGTGCCCTGCACCTGGACCAGCAAGGTTCCTTGAGGGGCCAGAAAGCCCGTAAAGGCCTGGGGGAACCCTCCATAATTATTCAAAATATCCAAGACCATTCCACATTAAGACAGAGTCCCCTGAGCCCTCTGGTTGGTGATCTCAAGGCAGCAGGGAACATGAAGCTTAGTGTGGGATTTGTAAACATTTACTCACTCACTCACTCACTCATTCATTAAGTATTTCTTGATTATCAGTGATGTGCCAAGGGCTGTTCTGAGTGTTGAGGGCACAGCAGGAAGCATAGCATTATCCCTGTCTTCACTGGACTTAAATTCTAGTAGGGCTGGACAGGTAATGCAACACTACCAAGCAAACGTATAGCCTGCTCAGATGGTAATAAGTGCTATAGAGGTCAAGTCCCGGCATGGCGGACGAGGGGCAAGGGCAACTTCACATTAGAAAAGGGAAGCCTTCACTAAGAAGGTGGCATTTGACAAGGTGTGATGGGAAAGAGAGGGAGGCAGGCTTTGTGCTTCAAGCAAGAGGACAAATGCAAAGACTCTGTGATGCCTCCAGTGAACTGTGGCAGCCAGAGTGGCCAGAGAGGAGTTGGGAAGGTTAGAGATGGGCCTAGGTCACAGGGATTCTTGAGGACAACTGACATTGGCTTTCGCTCTAAGGTCAGTGGTGGCTGTTGCAGAGGTTTTGGCAGAGGGACCTGGCCTGACCTGTCTTTTGAAAGAATCGTCCTGGCTGCTATGGGGAAAGAGACCAGTTAGGTTATTGCCATAACCAGGTCAGAGGTGATGAGGATTGGACCAGTGAGGCGGTGATAGAGGTGAGGGAAAACGAACGCACACTCCACTGGGGCAGAACCGACTCATTCATGAGGTTTTCAAGGCTGTGAATTGCACAGAAAGGAAGAGATTGCCTTTCTCCTCCAGAGTTGCTGGTGGATTCAAACCCCCGACAGACACATAGCCTTTGGTGTAGCAGCAGAACTGCCTGTAGGATGCACTGGGAGAGCTCCCTGGGAGAAATGGAGGAAACAACAATTGTTGATGGACTGGATATAAGATTTGAAAGACAGAAAATCAAGGATAACTTCAAGGATTTTAGCCCAAGTCAACCAGAATAATTAGAATAATTAGTGTCTTTGTCTCTCTGTCTCTCTCTCTTCCTCCCTCCCTCCCTCTCTTTTTCCCTCCCTCTCTCTTTATGAGAAGAAGAGAGCCAGTGTGGGGTTGGAGGAACAGGAATTTCTTTCTGGACATGGCCACTCTGACACCCCTGTTAGTTATGGGAGTCTGAAGTTCAGGGAAGAGCTGAGGCTGGAGGTCAAAATCTGCAGTCAGTGGTGTATGGATGGTATTGAAAGCCTTTAGAGATCCTTTAGGAAGGAAGCCATTGTTCTCTGAGAAGGGATGAAGACCCAACAACTCCGGGGCATTCCAACAGTGAGAGGTCACAGGAGGAAGGACAGCCAGCCAGGGAGACCAGGAGTGGGCAGTGATGTGAGCCACCCAGTGACTCAAAAGCTAAGTGAAGAAGGGCTCACTGTGTCCGGTGGTGCTAACAGCGCAAACAAGACAAGGATGAGGATTGGCCTCTGGGTTTGGCAACAAGGAGGGTGTTGGTGCTTTTCTTAGAAAGCAATTTCAGTGGAATGAGGGGACCGAAACCTGATTAGAGTAGGTTCAAAAAGGAACAGGAGCAGGGGAACCAGAGACAGTTTCAGTACCTCAAGGAGTTTTTCTGTAAGAGACTAGAGAAACAGGGTAGTAATTAGAGACGTGAGTAGAGCTGAGAGGTGCTTTTAAAGATAGGAGCAATAACATGTTTATGTGGCATGATCCAGCAGAGAAGGGGGCAATGGTGATCCGGGGAAGAGAGGAGAAATTGCTGCAGGGTTGCCCTTGTCCTTGAGTAGGACACTGAGAGGGGTGCATCTGCTGCACAAATGGAGGGGTTGGCCTCAGACGGAAGTGCAGTCACTTCCTCCCTCACACCGGGAGGGAAGTCAGAACCCAGGTACGGATGGAAGGAAGGACTACAGGTATAGTGAGGGGGCATGTGGAGGTCATCTTCCGAGTGTTTTCTTTTCTCAGTGAAATATGGGAAGCAAGGTCAACAGCTTGAGGGGAGGAGGAGGTAGAGGTATGCAGTAACTATGTCCCTCTGGTTTCAAGTCCATTTGGCAGTGCCCTAGGGCTGTGTTCTGCTGGCAGTCACTTTGCCTTCCCTCACTGTGGTACTTCAGGCACCAGAGGTTTCCAGGGGAGGGAGAGGCAGGCCCCTTGGTCTAATGTGCCGCTTTCTGCCCCCCCAGGGCTGTCCAACCCATTCCGAGGCCTCATGAAGCTGGGCACCGTGGAGTGCCGCGGGGCCATGGGCATCTGGAAGGAACTCTTCTGCGAACTCTCGCCCCTGGAGCTCCGCCTCTACCTGGGCACCGAGGAGCGCACCTGCGTGGAGAGCTGCTCCCTGCTGCGCTGTGAGTCCGTGGGGCCGGCCCTCAGCGACGGGCGCTTCGAGCTGCTCTTCTCCGGCAAGAAGCTGACCCTGCGTGCCTCCTCGCAAGACGAAGCCGAAGACTGGCTGGACCGGGTGCGGGAGGCCCTGCAGAAGTGCCGGCCTCAGCAGGAGGACGAGTGGGTGAATATCCAGTACCCAGAGCTGCCCGAAGACCTCCCCGAGGCCCCCCAGGCCGGCCTGTCCTCCCACTCAGAGCCCCTGGTGGAACCCGAAGCCTTCCAGGGCACACAGCTCAACTGGTCATCTGCCCAAATTCCGGAGCCAGATGCCATTAAAGAATCCCTTCTTTACCTATACTCAGACAGGACCTGGGCGCCCTACATTTTCTCCCTGTCCCTGGAGTCTCTGAAATGCTTCCGGGTGAGAAACAACGAGAAGATGCTAAGTGACAGCCATGGGGTTGAGACCATCCGAGACATCCTGCCAGACACAAGCCTCGGGGGCCCATCCTGCTTCAAAATCCTCACGGCCAAGGCCGTCCTGAAGCTGCAGGCTGGGACCCCTGAGGAGGCTGCCCTGTGGAGGGACCTGGTGCGCAAGGTGCTGACATCGTACCTGGAGACAGCCGAGGAGGCAGTGACCCTCGGTGGGAGCCTGGACGAGAACTGCCAGGAGGTGCTCAAGTTTGCCACAAGGGAGAACGGCTTCCTGCTGCAGTACTTGGTGGCCATCCCCATGGAGAAGGGCCTCGACTCCCAGGGCTGCTTCTGTGCAGGTGATGTCGTACTCCTGCCCCCCCCCCCCCGACTGCTTCCTGTGGGCTCCAGATGGAGGCTTTCCACAGGTGTCCCCATGACCCCATGGGTGTGCTGCAGCAAATAAAGCTTTCCCCTCAGCTTTTGTATTTCCCAAGCACCCACTAGGGCAATCCACTCTGCCTGCCACTGCTTGCCAACAACCAGAACCTGTGGGTGGCAGCCCCAGTTGCCTGCCCCTCGGACCTCCTGGGAGCTCAGCACCCCACTCCCTGAACGGTCTTAATACTATAATGTATTCTTTTGGAGGGAGAGGCATGGTATCCTTCCCGAAATGTTTTCACACTATAAATTACAAAAAAATATTCTACTCTGCCCAACAGAACTTTGTGAAAAGATGAAAATGTTCTCCATCTCTGCTGCCTGTGTGATCACCATGAGTCCCGTGTGGCCACTGAGTATTTAAAATATGACTTTGTTTTTGTTGCCGTGTGCCATCAGGTTGAAGCCAACACATAGGTGACCCTCCAGCAGGGTCTCGGGGGCTGTCAATCACATGAGAGGAGACTGCCCATCTTTCTCCCATGGAGCAACTGGTGGATTCAAACCACTTGTGCTTGGGTTGGCAGTGTAATTCCTTACCCATTAGACTACCAGAACTCCCTAAAATCGGACTTTTGTTATTTTGTACCCTCATGTTGGCTCCAACACTTCTAGCAGGTTTTTAAAAGTGGTATATGATGCTTGAGTATATTACTCACCTTTCTCCTGCAGAGCAACTGGTGAAATTGAGCTGCATGTCTCTGGGTTGGCAGTGCAAGTTCTTAAATTTTACTTAAATAGATATATATATGGCTGTGGTCACTGATTAGATAGTACTTGCTATAGCTCTATATCTTTCCGTATTGGTCTGTTGATGTTGTGTACCGTTGAGTCAGAGCCGACCCGTCAGGGACCCTCTGCCAGGCTTTCAGAGGCAGTTAATCACACGGGAGAAGATTGCCCATCCTTCTCCCACGGACCAGCTGGCGGATTCAAACCGCGTCCCTTCAGGATTGCAGCACAGCTTCTTGCCACTCATTATGATGTTATTCCAGATCCATATAACACTAGTACAACATCAGAGGTAGCATCATCATCGTCATCAAATTTAATGCTTCCGTACCAGACCCTGCAAATGCTTATCTCACTTAGTCCTCACAACACCTCTTTTGGGATAGGTGCTACTATCATCTTCATCTGTAGACGAGGAAACAATCTTAAGAGCTGGTAGATACCTATGCTACGTTACTTAGCTCATAAGTGAGCTAAAATTAGGGCTTGTGCTCTTGGCTAAGACCTCAGAAGATCTCCTGAACCCCAACCACATATTTCAAGGCTGCATAATACTGTACTGTTCACATCCCATCTTTAGATCCGTGAACATCTAGAGCAGACCCCCATTTCCATTTGCCAGGGGCCCTCCAGGTGGGCTGTCAGGAGGTTGGTTACCTTGCTGCAGAACGCCAAGGCAGGAGAAGTAGCAATGAGCTGAGCCATGAAGCTGTCCTGTGAGGTGGGGCCTGTGGCACTGGAGGGAAAAGCCTGCAGCAAGTGTCTGGAAGGAAGTGGTCTGCGGTTGGTCCCCCTGGAGGATGGGGGAAAGCCAGGCGTAGCACTGCTTCTCGGTACCACTCATCGCTGCCTGCCCACAGTACTCAACACTTGTCTCCTCAGTGTGTGAGCATCAGATTCAGGGAGGAGGGACGCCCCACTGTAGATGTGAACATGTGAGGTGAGCCAGGAAAGCTCTCACTGTGAGTTCCCCTGACCACCTGCTGGCCAGGACTGAGGAGTTTGGACGGTATTTCCTGGTTTCCAGGGTACTTTCAATACCTTGTATTACTAAACTTCGTAATAGCCTTGTAAGTAGCTAGTTGTAGCTGGATTTACAGAGACTAAAATGGACTGGCTGTCAGTCAAGACGAGGCAGAAGAGCTACGCTGTGCATTCCACTGGCCTGCCCGCTGCCCTGCTCCGGAGGGAACTCCAGCAGAGGGGACAGAGCCTGGGCCCTGCACCCCTCTCCTGAGTTATCAGGGGCTCTGGATGCCGGCTGGTACTGACAGTGTCCAGACTGCCCTGCCCCCTGCTGGCTTCTTCACTCAGGCCCTGAGGCTGGCCTGTCTCCCCACTATTCCTTTCTTCCTAAAGCCCTGACTTCTTGTTATGTGCCAGATGAGTCAGAACCCGCTGAGAACTGACCCTCTATTGGGTTTTCAGAGGCTGTAAACCACACGGGAAGAGATTGCCCAGCTTTCTCTCAAGGAGCGGCTGGCAGCACAGCTCGTCACCCACTAGGCCACTAGAGCACCCCTAGAACCCTGACGTAGTCTCTCCCATTTCTGGGTCCCAGTGGAGAAGTAGACCTGAAGGAGGTTGGCATTAATGAGTAAGCACTGGGGACTCAGGACAAAGGCAGTTGGGGGTAACGGATGAGAATGTAGGATTTAGAACCAAACCCAAATTTGAATAATACTTAATGGCTATGTGACTTTGGACAGGCTTCAACCTCTCTGCATCAGTTTCTTCAGCTATAAATTGGAGACAATAATTTTCACAGTGTTTTGTTATAAAGGTGAATTGCTAGGGTTGCTTCTAGGTGATGGAAATATCAGTGGTAGTCGTTTCTATCTTTGTCCTTTCGAAAACAAGGCTTAGATAGTGGGCCCTTTCCACACGGTGGCTTTTGTGGGTCCAGGGGCTGCCTCTGGCCTACAGCTGCTCACTCTCCCACCTTCCCTCTCCCCAGGCTGCTCCCGGCAGATCGGCTTCTCTTTTGTACGCCCCAAACTCTGTGCCTTCTCTGGCCTCTATTACTGTGACATCTGTCACCAAGATGATACCTCAGTGATTCCAGCCAGGATCATCCACAACTGGGACCTCACCAAGCGCCTGGTAAGTCTTGCGACCAGCCTGGAAAGGCCACGTGGGGCTCCCAAATGAAAGGAACAGTAACTGTTCTTCACTGCTGCTGCTCCTCAGCTAATTGGGGGATCTTGGCGAGGGGGATTCATTGCCACAGCTTCAGTGCCTGTGATGTGGGCAGCTGACCAAGAGGAAAACTTGGTGCTGGGCCACAGCCCCTGTGCAGAGGTTACCTGACTCGGGAGCCAGGCTGGGAGTCTGCGAATGGTTCCCTACAGCTCCGTGGCTACACTAAATGGGCTTAAGACATGAGCAGG